TCAATAAGAAAAGGTAATGTAGCTGATGAAAACAATTAATAGGTTTATAATCTAGGTTGCCATGAGAACGACCAGTTGTCAACTGAAAAAATAACAAAATAGTTCGGTATTGTTTAAAACAAAGGCTAATCTGCACCGTCAAGCTTCTTCCTACGACCTAATTCCAGAGATCAAATTCTTATCGCCAATCGAGAAGTTTTTTTTACTTTTCTTAACATCTGCAAATTCAGCAATATTCACGTTTATTGTGGATCTCATATTTGTTTTTGTAAGTATTTACGTTCCCTTCTATCTATCATAGATCTTTATTAATAGTACGAATACAGATTTAGATATTACCTTATTCTATTATCTTTTAGGCAATAAAAAAAGGTTTGTTATGTATCAAAATACATGTATAAAATGAGCGTTATATAGATCTCTCTCATCGGGTTTTCTTTAGGTCGTGTATTTCAGATTTACTTCCCTTGAATAGAACTGATTCAATTCAAATGCGTAATCCTGTTATTTGGCTTCTTAGTGTTTTGAAATATAATAAGATTCAAGTGGAATGTGTCAGTCTAATTCTTTTCACCTATGGCTCTTCGATATACAGTTTGAAATGACTATTCCCCTTTTGTCAACTCTGAAGCAATCGGGGACTCACAATAGATCCTCGTCGAGACTGAATCATCATTACAGAGCATGATTCATAACAAACATCTCAGCAGTATAAGTACTATTACTGTAGTGTGAGCTTAAAGTTTTCGTTTCGCCAATTTGCATATCCGCATAGACCTGGAATTAAAAGGCTGAAAAGGGTTGTTTTTTATATTTAAGATATGAAGGTGTGTACCGGATGGAACGATTCTCCAGGTAACTATCGCCTTGGCACATGGACGGTATAGTCTGGCAGTTGATGTTTAGTTTCAGCAAACATTGAAAGAAGTCAATGTAGCTTTATTTGACACTTTTAAGAATCGAAGTACGATGATGGATGTCATTAAATTCAACTTTTCTGCTTATATGTTATGTGGATGAAGTTAGGTCATGTAAACTTCCTGATGTCTCTGTGTTAGTTTATCCTCTTTTATATTTTTTCTCAATAACAAACACAATGTTAAGTTCCCAACGTGGACAGGTCACATATGTTAAAAAGGTTTTTGATGGGGTATATCTTGTGTTAACCGTGAATCTTATTTGTTGTATAAATATATCTTTATAATGTAATACTTTGAAGCTTTGTTACAAACTCAATGCAGTCTTTATTATGAACTTCTATACGTGTTTACACTACAAAACAAAGCTGCAAATCTATGTCAAGCTTGGCTACTTTACACTGCAATGTATATAATATTTTCCGAATAATAAAATTTTAAAATATAATATTCTATTACTTATTGTAGTAATATTGTAATATAAGTTTGGCCTGGTTTCAAGTTATTTTGTGGAAGAATACGTCATGTCATATAAAATGTAATTTTCAGCCCCTTTCCACATCCCAGGGTAGGTTCCCATCGTACCAATAACCCTCTCCAAAGGAAAAGAGACAGGCCCGGTTTGCTCAAAGTCTTTTGACTATGATGATTGAAGTCGTACTAATGAAGTTGTAATTACCACTTGATTCTATTCGGGACAGATTTGAAAAATGAGAGAGAATATACTTAATTTGCATAATAATTATATAACGTGTGTCCATTATATAATTCTGATTAGTTGCCTAACATTAATATGTCATATGTCGTGAACTCAAATAATTTTAGCTACCGGAGTTCTCCAATAGAAAACACGACTTCCGAGCAAAATTTGAAGTAACGAATGCTGTATACCATCTCGGAAGTCGTATTTCCCATAACAAGAGATAACATAATTCTAATCAGTACCTCTAATACGACCTCCCTTGAGAGCTCCGCTTTTATTTAGTTCATTTCTGGAATGTTGTTTACCGATTGTTTTTTCATTTTGTCCTGTCCATGGATTTTCCGACTGGCTTTTAGACTTTGGTATTCTTTCGTTCGCTCAGACATTATAAAGATTGCAGATAAAAACTTGATAATCACGAAATAGTAGGAATTTATAGACGGGAGTGGATAATGCAATCGATCAAGGGTCAAAAAGGAGTAAAAGAAAGAAGGAAAGAAATCCCTTGCTCAATAACATTGATTAGACGGTACTGGGCACACCAACTTATAAATTTGTACCAGCTTGGTATACAGGTATTTAAATAAATCACTGAACCACAAAAGTAATTCTATGAGCGTTATGACGAAATTAACGAGTCAACCAATCACATTTAAGGGATAATATTACAACTTTACTACCTGTTTGGTTAATTGTTTGTTAACAATATATAAATGTAAAACATTAATAGCATATCCAATATTTTTTGTAAACAATATTTCTTTATTATAGATAAGTGGTACAATGTACAAAACATTATATAAGCGATACAGAAAAAAGCGTAATGCTTATTCCAACCTGCCTCGCTGAGCGAAAATTCAGACATATACAAATATATTTCATAAAGTATACATAAGTTAGTACATCAAAGTCCTCATTTATAATCTAATAAAATGGAGAGTGTGATAAAAGATTACAGAGACAACGATATCCCATATCATAAACCAATATTCACATAAATTGTCCGGAGAAAGTCTCTTTTAAATAACTATATACAATAGATAAACACCACAATATCAAAAGGAGTTGTTAAAATTAACAAAATATTTTTTGACAACTTTGATGCCACAAACGAATGTACCAAGTAATCATACACTGTAAAAAAAGTCCGTTTTTTTGACAGAAATTTACTTGATATTTTCTGTTGATATACGTAAATTTCTGCTGATATACATACTTTCCTGTTGATTTACGGACTTTGTTCTTACATTAACAGAATGTTAGTTCTGCAATAAGGAAATATGTTATTTTACGTAAATTAATCTTTGTCGTATGTCATTTAAGAAAAATTACGTTATTTGTCAGTAAATTTACGTAAATTCTGTGTTATTATCATTTTTTTCCAAACTTGTCTGTAGATAAGCGAAGTCGGCGCATGCGTGGTCATACTGTTTTTTTGACAGGAACTTTATGTTTCCTTACGGAAAATTATAACAGGATTGCTGTTAATTTACGGAAACTGTGATTTTGCGTTATGATAGTTTCGACCTGTTAATCAAAGTAGGTATGACGTCATCGGTAAAGACACGAGGTCAGTTTATCGTCACGCCGCCATCTTATCCCACATCAAAACAAGGCTACGTCGAAGGGATTTTTGTGAATTTCTTAAATTAAATTTAATATGGTGAGATGCATGTCAAAAACTGCAAAATGTTTTACTGAATTTTAAGCGTGTGGGGACAACGACAAAATGACTTAAATTTATCCTACATGATGAACTAGACTAGGCTTAGCTTACTTGGTCTTGGGTAGAGTGGAAATGATCACTGAATACAAATTCACAGGTGAGTGTATTTTAATTATTGCCTAAATAAATTTGTAATGTTACCATTTTATCACTTTATACATGTGTGATATTTGTGGTCTGAAACTTAGATCAGTCATGTCAAGAGTCATCTTTCTGTTTGGAACTCTTCTGTCTAAGAGAGTAGAAAAATTAATAAATTTTTTTTATGGCAATGAAGTCCTCAAATTCATTTCTCTAATTCTTCAGGTTTAGCCAACCGCAATGTAAGTTTATACCCGATTACATAAGAAAACCTCCAACGATATGAAATATCACAGGATCCATAATTTCTATTGCAATTTTATATTTGTTCATGCTGTCTGAAAACTTTTACCAAAATGTAAACAAACCCGACAAAATGGCGCCAAATTATGCATAGATACCTCAAGTCAGTTTTCCCACCAACTTTGTACAAGTGACACTATATAAAATGTTTGTACCTACTATTAATAACATTTGCAATGTCTTATCGATGTCAAACTGTGCAACCTGCTTTTAAGAAATTATTTTGTAGGGCCACCCATGACTGCTATACATAAGTGTGTCATTGCATCATGCTCTTAATTTCCATCCACTTTCTTATGCCTTTACTAATTTATTATTTTTAATTTATAATTTCTTTTTCTGTTTTTGTACATCCTCGCTTTTTCAGCCTTTTATGGTTATGATTGCACCAGAGTACAAGAATACAAGGAATGAGAATTTTGTCATTAATATTCTTGTCAATAAACCTTAACCGTTTACACTCAATGTTAGGACCCACCACGTAGGCGAGGCATTACAAAATTTGTAAACGAGGGTAAATTGGACTCTGGATTTCTCGAACTAAAAGATCCAGTGCCCTACTATTACTACACTACTACAGTACGTTAGCACAACAAATATTTTCTCATTTTAAATTTATCTTTTCAGGTATGTCACCTTTTCCCTTTCTTTAGAGTTTCTGCCATTATTTACCAGCTAAAAGTTACGGAGCATTATGAGACTTGACCTGATTTTCGAACGAGCAACAATTAACTGTGCACATCAAAAACAATTAGGCCTTATAGTAATGATTAGAGTTGCATCAT